TAAATACATAGTTCATTAACATAGCTTAAGACAAACATTTCCATAAGAAAAATGCATTGGTTAACTCAGGATTTGAGAATAGTTAGCTTCAAGTGAAACCAGGTGTCATTATGGCAGCACAGTATTTTAAGAGAAACCTCCTTTTAAATTTGTACAGAGAAGAAGAAAAAATCGCTAGTTTGTTTCCTCCTGCTGCTTAAGAGAGATAAAAATGTCTGACACTTGCAGCCTATTTTTTCCATTTGGAGACCCCTGGCCTTTTTGCCTGTTAAGTCAAACTAGATTGGCCAAGTAAAAGACTGAAGGTTTGTCGGGCCCAAAAAGTCCAGCAGGTATTTTAGAGGGGACTGCTTGAGGGTAAAGGAGTTTAGGGCTGGTATATCGACGGCAGCACTGCCGGATGTTAAGGGTTTGAGGGAAAAGATGGAATTTGTCCCTGATTTTTGTTGAAGGGGACCTGGGGGGGGGGGGTCTCTTGCTTGGAGTTTTTCGGAATAGGTTTTTCTTTAATATCAAATTTAGATTTACGCTCTTTGGCCCAATGTATTTTTCTATGGCAGCAAGGGCAGATTTTTGGAGTTTTTTTTTTTTTTTTAACTTTTTTAAGGCAGTCTTTTTTAAAATGATTTTTATCTCTATATATAAAGCATCTTTCATTTTTCTTTCTTAGGGTATCTTCCTTTTTTGTTTTAGCTAGCATTTGCATCTTTTGAGTTTCTGATCTTATATTATGACAAGCCTTCAAATAATCAAAAATAGTCTGTTTCACACATTCGGGCTATAGCCCTTTGATATTTTTGATTTGCAGCTTTATAAGCAAGTAATTTTTTTTTTAGTTGTCTTTTAGTTTTTTTCCCAATTACTGTATGGGAAATAGCAGTTTTTAATCTAGCTAAGAAATCAGCATATGTTTCATTAGGTCTCTGCAATATTTTAGTGCAGCTACCTGTTGGCTCTCTTTGAGGAGTAATTTGATCTCAAGCTTTAAGGGCCACTGTTTTTAATTGATCATGAAACAAAGGAGGGCAACATATTTGAGCTTTTATAGCATCAAATTGTCTGGTGCCAGTTAGCATCTCAAAAGTAATTTGATTTTGGGGAGTGCCAGCTCAAGCATTTTTGTTAGCATGATCTCTGGCTATATCTTGAAACCACATTGTCCACTGAAGATACTCTCTTGGTTTAAGGAGAGATTTTATAAAAATTTGCCAATCATAGGGAACAAAGGTGTCAATAGAAGACGCCATAGCATTCAGAGTCTCTCTAGAAAAAGGCGAATGTGGGCCATACATAGTTACAGCCTGTTTTATTTGTTGCATGTGAAAAAGGTTAATACCTTTATATTGAAGTATTATCTGCCCTTGAGCGTCAGCATTTCTTAAAACTGGAAAGGCAGAAAAACCATTGGCTTTAGAGACTTGTGATTGCAAAGCCAGCAATTCAGAGAGCCTCTGTCGCGAAGGGGGTAGATTATTGTTATTTAGAAAGGTGTTGTCAGTTTTAATGTTAAAAGGTGTCTTAAGGGAGTCGTTGTCAGAATCATTAGGTTTTACTTTTCTTTTTTTTTTTTTTTATTAGTTAGAGGCTAATTACTTTACATTAGGTTTTATAGAGGGAGAGACTTTGGGATATGTGCCCTCCAGCAAGGGAGGAACGCTTGGAGCAACCGGGGCAGGGTTGGTAGGAAAATTTTGAAATATCTTTTGTTGTTTTAATTGGGCCTTTTGTAAGTTATCATTGTCTAATTTATATTTATGCAGTAAGTGTTTTGCCTGTTGCCGAATACTATGAGGGCTAGAATTACCTTGAAATGGCAGAATCACAGCTTTAATGAGAGCCCATAGGGACCAGAAATCTATCTGAACTACCTTCATTAGGGAACCAAGGGTTATATTCAACCACTGTCTGGAAGCAAGCCTCTATTCTCTGGCGTGAAACCGAAAATCTCTGAACTCTAAATAAGTGCTGAAGTAAAGTAGAAAAGTGAGGGGGCTTTTCAGCCGATTGACCCGTGTCTTAATACTTACCGGCCTCAATAGGCCCTAGGGGTCACTCCGTCTGAATCTTGTCACGTGTACCAAGTCCCTGTTGGGGTGCCACTTGTTGGTCCTTTAATGGACCGGAACCTGGTGGTCCGGAGTCGACGAAGAGAGAGTGAAAGAACTAAAGAGGCTAATATTCCCTGGGTTACGCAGCCGGCTTTCACGTTCCAGAGAATCAGCCAGAAATAGAGAGATAAAGAGAGGAAGAGAGGAAGAGAGAAAGAAAGACACGGGGACCCAAGCTCTGATGGAGCAAAGGTGTTTTAATCAACATGGTGTGGGCATATATACTGTCTTACAAGGTAGTTATTCTCAGCAAATATAAAGATTAAAATTCCAGATATACAAACATAAGATGATCCCTATCAAAGAGAGAGCTGCAATCACTTTTTATTGTATGGTTCATAAAAAGGAAGAGGGTACTTATCACCAAAATGAGAAATGCCTGGATTCCTCAGCCCCAGGAAAGGCATGCCTCTCCTCTTAATTCCTGAATATTCAGAAATTAATCAGGGCCAGAGGGTTCCTGACAGATCCAAAACAGCACACAGGAAGCCTCTTGTTAAATGCTTCCTGACACATTAAGTCTGTTCTGTATGCATGTTTCTCCACTGCTGCCCTGCCAACAGGTTGATCAGTATCATCTTTTTAGATTCCACATGTGTGTTGATATACAATATTTGTTTTTCTGTTTTTGACTTACTTCACTCTATAATAAGTTCTAGTTTCATCCATCTCATTAGCACTGACTCAAATGCATTTCTTTTTATGGCTGAGTAACATTCCATTGTATATAAGTATCATAGCTTCTTTTCCCATTCATCTCTTGAAGGACATCTAGGTTGCTTCCACATCCTAGCTGTCGTAAATAGTGCTGCAGTGAACACTGGGTTACATATGGCGTTTTCAATTATGATTTTCGCAGGGTATATGCCCAGTAGTGGGATTGTTAGGTCGCATGGTAGTTTCATTCCTAGTTTTTTAAGGAATCTCCACACTGTCTTCCATAGTGGCGGTATCAATTTACGTTCCCATCAACAGTGCAGGAGGGTTCCCTTTTCTCCACACCCTCTCCAGCATTTATTGTTTGTAGACTTTTTGATGATGGTCATTCTGACTGATGTGAGGTGATATCTCATTACAGTTTTGATTTGTATTTCTCTAATAATGAGCGATGTTGAGCCTTGTATAGAGCCCTGTATACCAGTTCAGATATACCTGGGATAAATCCCACTTGCTTGTGGTATATAACTGTTTTTATACACTGTTGGATTTGTTTTACTAATATTTTCTTGAGGACTTTTGCATCCATCTTTATGAGGGATGTTGGTCTATGGTTTTTCTTTCTTGTTGTGTCTTTCTTTGCCTTTGGTATTATGATAATGTAGACCTCAAAGAATGAGTTAGGAAGTATTTCCTCTGCTTGTTTCCAAGAAGTTGCAGAGAACTGGTGTAAGTTCTCCCTTAAATATTTGATAGCATTCACGACTGAACTTATCTGTGTTTGGTGCCTTCTGTGTTAGAACATTAATGATTGATTCAATTTCTTTAAAAGATATGGGCTTATTCAGAATACCTATTTCTTCTTGTGCTTTAGCAGATTGCATCTTTCAAGGAAATGAAATGTCAAGGAATTGAAAGAATATGTAATTGATTCATCTAATTATTAAATTTGTGGGCATAAATTTTTTCATAATATTCCTTTATTATTCTTCATCTATAGGGCCAATACTGATGGCCTTTTTTCATTTCTAGTATCAGTAATTTGTGTTTTCTCTTTTTTTTTTCTGTTTGGCTAGAGGTTTATCAATTGTATTGCTCTTTCTAAAGAACCAGCTATTGGTTTTGTTGATTTTCTCAATAGATTTCTGCTCTAATTATTTCTTTTCTTCTGCTTGCTTTGAATTTAATTTGCTCCTCTTTTTCATTAGATTAATAGATCTTTTTAACACACACATTCAATGATACTAATTTCCCTCAGAACTCCGCTTTTGCTATACCCAACTAATTTTGGTAAGTTGTATTTCAGCTTCACTTACTTCAAAATATTTTAAGTTTCTCTTTAGACTTCTGTGACATGTGTTATTTGGAAGTGATAGCTCATGGTGAACAATGTTGGTTTCGTTATCTCTGAAGATTTAGCTTTGGGTCCAGGGATCAGGCTTGATCACTCAAGAACTTCTGTGTAGCAGAGTTTTATTAAAGTAAGAAAAGGGACAGAGAAACCTTCTGATAGAGACATCAGAAGGGGGACAGAGAATGCCCCCCTCGCTAATCTTATCAAGGCCTTGTATACTTTTTTCAGACCTACTCCCACATCTTAAATTAGCAAGATTAGAATGAACAATAGAAAGATCTTACCAGACCCACTCCCCTAATATACATTTTAAGATGACAGGATTAGTCAGAAAGTTCTTGTTAAGGAGAAACATGTCCTCAAGACACATTGTTATACTGAATAAGACAAAGCAATGTAGAAAAGAATGTCCTTTTCTTTTTGAGAGCCCCAGATCCCTTTTTCCTTCTCGAGGGCTCTGGACCGCTTTCTCCTCCCTGGGAACCCTGGACTTCTTATCAACCTACCTAGGAATTGACTCTCTCAGAAGTGTATTAATTCATCTCCAAGTATTTGGTGATTTTCCAAGTAGCTTTCTGTTACTGATTTCTAATTTAATTTCATTGTGGTTTAAGAGCATGCTTTGTATAATTTCCTTTCTTTTAAATTTTTTAACATGTGGTTTATGACCAAGAATGTTGTCTTGATAAATGTCATGTGTGAGTTTGAGAAGAGTGTATTCCACTGTTGTTGGAAGAAGTATTCTAGAGATTTCAATTAGACCAGGAGAATCCCATGGGCAGAGGACCCTGGTGGGCTATGGTCTATAGGCTTGTAAAGAGTCAGACATGACTGAAGTGATTTAGCATGCATGCACATTGGGAGTAGAATAAAGGACACTCTTTAAGTAGCCGTATTCACATGTTTATTGAGCAGTAAAAAATATATATGGTCAACATTGTTACTTTCATTTGCCAATGCAAGAGCTGGGCCTTATACAAACCTGTACTTGACAAATTACTCTTATCTAGGCTTCTGCAGGTCTGGAATTTTCTCTCCATTGGATAGGAGTATATGGTTGGAGTTCCAGCTGATAACATTTTTATTAAAAATAAAAAAAGTAAAAACAGAATCAGCATGGTCAAGTTGTCTTATTAGTCTTAAGGATTTCTGGATTTCGTCCTTGGAGGAGATCAGGATCTTCCCAAGGCCTGGGTCCTCGAATATTTTTCCAGTCATCAAAGGTGGAATCCTTTATTTTCTACAGAGCCACAAAAATTAGAGCATAAATATTAGTATAGGAGCCCTGTGAGTTTGGCTAGGACCTAACTGAATAAATGAGCAGAAAGAATTCAATAGGTCCTCACTTATAATTCTAGTAAATAAATCAACTGCAAAAAATTGAAGAAATATTATATTTCTTTATAGGATCTGGAATTTTTCTTGCTCTTGATATTACTGCCTATCTTTCCCCTCATCAGAATAAAACTATTAAAAAAGGAACAGAGTCTACATGTTTTTACAAAAATTTATTTTGTTGAATTACAGTTGATTTACAATGTAGTGTTAGTTTTTGCTATGGCAAAAGTTCTTCAGTTATACATATATATGTATACACACACACACACATGCATTCTTTTTCATATTCTTTTCCATGATGGATTATCACAAAATGTGGAATATACTTCCCTGTGCTATACAGTAGGATCTTCTTGTTTACACATTCTGTATATAATACTTTGTATCTACTAATCTCAAACTCTCAATCCTTCCCTCCCCCACCTACCCCCACCTTGGCAAGCCATAAGTCTGTTCTCTCTATCAAGACTTGGCAACCCCAAGTCTGTATCAGAGTCTGTTTCTGTTTTGTGATATGTTCATTTGTGTCATATGTTAGATTCCACATATAAGTGATATCATATGGCATTTGTCTTTCTCTTTCTGACTTACTTCCCATAGTATAATGATGTCTAGATCCATCCATGTTGCTGCAAATGGTGTCATTCTTTTTTTATGGCTGAGTAGTATTTCACTGTACATATGTACCACATCCTCTTTACCCATTCATTTGTCAATAATCATTTATTACCATGTCTTGCCTATTGTGAATAGTGCAACTGTAAACACAGGGGTACATATATTTTTCTGAATTATAGTTTTCTCCAGATATATGTTCAGAAGTGGGATTGCTGGATCATATGGCAACTCTGTTTTTAGTTTTTTGAGGAACCTCCATATTGTTTTCCATAGTAGCTGCACCAATTTACAATCTCACCAACAGTGCGGGAGGGTTATCTTTTCTCTAAACCAGATTCAGCATTTATCTGTAGGGTTTTTTTTTTTTTAATACAATAAGAGATGGAGAATGTCCTCCTTCCCTACATCCTATAATGAAACGTACTATTAACTCCTTGATTTTGTTAATCAGATAGCTGGAAAAATGATGACACTTCATTATAATGTTAATTAGCATTCCTATTATAAGTTGAACATCTCTTTATGTTTAAAAAATGCTATTTATTTCCTTGTCTCTGAACTCATTACATGTTTTGCCCATGTTTACACTTCCAACTGAGCTGTTGAAACTGTATACTGATTTGCTCTTTATATTTAAAATTAATTAATTCATCATGATAAGGATAAACAATATTTTTAGTATTTCTCATCTAACCACTGACTTTATATTACACAATTTTTTTTAGATGGTACCTCTGAATATTTACTTTTAAAGCATCTCTATTTCTCATCACATTTAAATAGGCTTTTCTGACTCAAGAACACAAAAAAGAAACTTCATTTTTTACTCCTAGTACTTTTAGCCTTTTGAGTTTTTTTCTTTTTAAATTCTTGATCCATCCAGAATTTACTCATAGTATATGAAAACCAGATCCATGTTTATTGTCTTCTCAAACAACCACATAGTTGTTCCAATAACGTATATTTAAGGTAATTTTTTTTTCTGTACTGGTAATAATTTGAATTTACCTTAAGGTAGATAAAACCAGTCACAGACTAGGAATATTGCTACATTAGCATACCGTACCTCATATTCTGATTCCAATGACACTTTATTCATTTTCAGCTTTTTTTCTAACTCAGGATCAATCTGTAGAAAAATAAAAGCAGCCATAAGTTACTTAAGTCTGTTAGATTCCATTTACAATTTAAAAAGTTAATATAAGCATGGCTCAGATGGCATGGTAGATTACAAAAATGTGGGAAAATCTCTACAATCTATCAAATTGTATGACAACTAATATCTCAATAGTACTATGACCACTACTACAAATAATAGCAGCTAAAAATTTACCAAGCACCTGCTATATGCAACGTATTTTGACATTTATTATTTCCTATAACCCACAAAAAAGTGTATGACATAAGTAGTATTATTTGATCAAAGCAAGGATAATGGAACACAGGGAGTTTGAATGACTTATCAAAGAGGCACAACGTGGCTTTGAAGCTTGGCCCTCTGCCTCCAGTTGCTGTTGTTCAGTCACTAAGTCATATCTGACTCTTTGCAACCCCATGGACTTCAGCACGCCAGGTTTCCCTGTCCTTCACTATCTCCTAGAGTTTGCTCAAACTGATGTCCATTGATTCAGTGATGCCATCCAACCACCTCATCCACTGTTGCCCCTTCTCCTCCTACCCTCAATCTTTCCCACCATTTTCTGACTCAATTTCCAATGAGTCAGCACTTCGTATAAGGTGGCCAAACTGCTGAAGCTTCGGTATCAGCATCAGTCCTTCCATGAATATTCAAAGTTAATTTCATTTAGGACTGACTGGTTTGATCTCCTTGCAGTCCAAGGGACTCTCAAGAGTCTTCCCCAGCACCACAGTTCAAAAGCATCACTTCTTAACAGCTCAGCCTTTTTTATGATCCAACTCTCACATCTGTACATGACTACTGGATGAACCACAGCTTTGACTATATGGACCTTTGTTGGGAAAGTAATGTCTCTACTTTTTAATATGCTATCCAGGTTTGTCACAGTTTTTCTTCCAAGGAGCAAGCATCTTTTAATTTCATTGCTGCAGTCACCATCTGCAGTGATTTGGAGCCCAAGAAAATAAAATCTGCCACTGCTTCCATTTTTTCCTCATCTATTTGCCATGAAGTGACAGGACCAGATACCGTGATCTTAAGTTTTTTGAATGTTGAGTTTTAAGCCAGCTTTTTCACTTTCCTCTTTCACCTTCACCAAGAAGGTCTTTAGTTCCTCTTCACTTTCTGCTATTAGGGTGGTATCATCTGCATATCTGAGGTTATCGATATTTCTCCTGGCAATCTTGATTCCAGCTTGTGCTTCATCCAGCCTAGGATTTCACATGGCATACTGTGCATTTAAGTTAAATAAGCAGGGTGACAACATACAGTTTTGATGTACTCCTTTCCCAATTTTGAACCAGTCCATTGTTTCATGTCAGTTCTAACTGATGCTTCTTGAGCTGCACGCAGGTTTTTCAGGAGGCAGGTAACGTGGTCTGGTATTGCCATCTCTTTAAGAATTTTCCCTCTTGACTCTCCCTTAATCTCAGCCTCTCAACCCTTATAATTCCTGTCAACCTCAACCAATCTTCTCAGTTCCTCTCAATGTTAGTCCAACTTACCCTCTCAACCTTGTTTGAACTCAACCTCACCTAAACACTGACTCTTGACTTCATCAGAGTCTGACTTCTCAGTACCAACCAACCTGAACCTCTCACTCTCAGTAGATCTTTGTCCTCTGATCCTTCTCAGCTAAACTTTGTCCTCTAAACCTCCTTCCACAGACCTCGACCAATCTTATCCTCTCAACTTCAATCAACCTCATTTCTCTCAACTTTGTTCTCTTTACTCTGACCTCATCCTCTAGACCTCTTATGTTACTACAATCTCCCTCATTCTCCCTTGCTGTGAAAATTTACCCAGTCCTTAAAACCAAAGCCTTAAGTCATCCCATATTTATTTAGATTTTAATATTGCATATATCACTATCAATTTGCTGCTACAAATTCTTTTAGAATCCAGTCATTCCTATTGTCACTGCCTATGTTTTACTTCAGATTCCAGTATTGTTCATCTATATTACTGCCAAAGTATCTTAACAGGTCTCTATCTCCAACTGAAACACTCTCTTCCCTCCTATCTTGCTCCCCTAATCTCCATCCATCCTGTACTCTTACCAGAGAGTTCTAAACTGAAAATCTGACCATATGCCCAATAGTCCCTCTATGTTATATAATACTAATCATTTTCATCATTTAGCTATCATTTAACTCTTATCATTCTTAAAGCCTTAATTCAAAGGTTGATACCTCTAGCAGACCTTCTTTGATATCCCTTTCCCAAATCTAAACTATGTATCTCTCCTTGAAGTTCTAGCAATGTGTTATGCAAAATTCTAATCTACCATTTCACTAGGCATTGTCATACTGTATGTTTGGATACATTTTTATATTAGAAGTCTCCCAACCTTGATAATGGGGCTTTCTGGGTAGCTCAGCTGGTAAAGAATCTGCCTGCAATGCAGAAGACCCCAGTGTGATCGCTGGGTCAGAAGCTCCCCCGGAAAAGGGACAGCCCACCCCCTCCAGGACTCCTGGGCTTCCCTGGTGGCTCAGACAGTAGAGAGTCTGCCTGCAACGCAGGAGACCTGGGTTTGACCCAGTTGGGAATATCCCTTGAGGAGGGTATGGTGACCCACTCCAATATTCTTGCTGAGAGAATCCCCATGGACAGAGGAGCCTGGTGGGCTGCAGCCCATAGGGTTGCAAAGAGTCAGACATGACTGGGTGACTAAGTACAGCACAGCACAGCCTTGATTATGCTATAAGCTTTATAAGAACCAGTTTCTTGGATCTTTATCTGTAGGATCTAGATAAACGCAACAAATACTCAATTATTTTTCAAATATATATATGAGATCCCATTTCCAAAAGTCAGATTACTATAACTTTCATCTTAGAGCAAAAGGGCAAAAAGTCCTTAATAAAATAATTGGGATGCTAACAGAAACTTTAAAACTCAGTTGATAACTGGTCTATTCCCTCACAGAAACTATATATTCCTTTTTAATTTAATATTTATTCTAATACCTACTGTCTTTAACACTAGCTAGAGTTGGTATTTCTCTTAAACCATAAGCTTAACTGAAAAAACTGAATAAGCTTTCAATACTCTTCCTTTCCCACCAACATTACTGAGGTCTGCTAATGAAATACAGCTGACTCTTGAACAACACGAGTTTGTTCTTTTGAGAGTCCACTTATACAAGGATTTTCCTCAATAAATATACACTTGGCCTGCCATATCTGTGGGCTCCCCATGCATGGATTCAGCCAGCTGCAGATTGTAAAGTACTGCAGTATTTATTGAAAAAAGTCCATTGTACCAGTGGAGCAGCATAGTCTAAACCTCTGCTGTTCCAGAATTAACTATACTTGGGAAAAAAACAAGTATCAGATGTGTGCCACAAACAAAAGCTACATACTTTTGAATGAATTAACCAGAATTCTTCTGTAACAACAAACCTGACTTGGTAGTAATTACACAAACTAGTACATGTAACAAAAAAGAAGCAGACTCACAAATACAGAAAACAAACTAGTCCTACCGTAAAAGCAAACTATAGAAAAGACCCCTATAAATTCATTATCTATGTCTCTTTCTCCACATATTCATACACATACCATGTATTCGTGAAATCTAAAAAATACAACAAACTAGTAAATATAACAAAAAGGAAAAGTGAAAGAAAGTGAAGTCACTCAGTCGTGTCCAACTCTTTGGGACCCCATGGACTGTAGCCCACCAGGCTCCTCCGTCCATGGAATTTTTCAGGCAAGAGTACTGCAGTGGGTTGCCATTTCCTTCTCCAGGGGATCTTCCCGACCCAGGGATCAAACCTGGGTCTCCCGCATTGCAGGCAGACGCTTTACCATCTGAGCCACCAGGGAAGCCCAACAAAAGAGAAGCAGACTCACACAAATACAGAAAACAAACTAGTGGTTACCAGTCGGGGAGGGCACAGGGAATACAGGGGTAAAGTGGTGGAAAGTATAAACTACTGGGTGTACGATAGGCTCAAGGATACATCATGGGGAATACAGCTGATATTCTGTAATAACTCTAAATGGAAAGTAATCTTTAAAAATTGTATAGGACTTCCCCGGTGGTCCAGTGGTTAAGAATCTGCCTGCCAAAGCAGAGGACACAGGTTCAATCCCCGGTCCAGGAAGATCCCACATGCTGCAGAGCCACACGTGCTCTGGAACCTGTGCTCCACGACAGCAGAAGCCGTGCACCACAACTGGAGAGCAGCGCCTGCTCACTGCAGCTCGTCAAAGTCCTCACACAGCAGTGAAGACACAGCACAATCAAACATCAATAATAAAAAGTTTAAAAACATTACATAAAAATTTTAAAGAAATGTTTTATAAAAGAGCTCAAAGATCATTCATCAGACTTAAAAAGCAAGATAAGGACATCTTTGGTGGTCCACTGGCTAAGACTCCACACTCCCAATGCAGGGGCCTGGGTTCAATCCCTGCTCAGGAAAATAGATCCCACATATTGCAACTAAGACTCGGTGCAGCCAAATAAATAAATGAATATTTAAAAAAAAAGCGAGATAAAATTCAGACAGCTTAGTATTTTAAGTATCCATGTCTCATAAACCAAAATATACATATATACATATTAAACTCCAATGAGAGTTCTTACTTTAATCTTCACAGCATCATAACGAATTTGAGAAAACTCACGAAGACCAAAAGAACCTCCAACAATCAGCAACTGAAACAAAACAGAGAAACAATTAAAACAGAAGGGTAGAATTCAGCATATCTACATATTACTTATCTAAATGCCAAAGGTGGCAGATTATACAAAATCCTATAGATTATTCCTCCTGGTGAGTAACCATTCATCTTTTCAGAGCAAATACAGTATATACTATCACTGGGAAACATTTTAGCATATTAGCAAATACCAAAATCACTAATTTATACCTGTACTTGATCCTAGGATTTAAATACCAGATCACAATCATTGTATCAGTTAATTCTTATAAAAGACCTATGAACTAAGGAAAGACTATATACTTAGTATATGAGAAAGAAAAGCACAACCAACTAAATGGCCTGCATGTGACTACAATGGATAAATCCATGAAAAAATCCTGGCCTTGCCTCCTCAAGACCAGAATGTTTTCAGTTTTTATGATTTTGCAAAATAAGCCAATTAGAGAGCATTTCTCCATTTACTTACCAAGTGATAAAATAAGAAGAAGCCACATTTCTCAGTATGTGGTAAACCTTAGAAAAACCCTTGAACTGGCCAAAGAACGGTTCCATGAAGACCTACAAGACCTTCCAGAACTAACACCCAAAAAAGATGTCCTTTTCATTATAGGGGACTAGAATGCAAAAGTAGGAAGCCAAGAGATACCTGGAGTAAGAGGCAAATTTGGCCTTGGAGTACAAAATGAAGCAAGGCAAAGGCCAACAGAGTTTTGCCAAGAGAATGCACTGGTCATAGTAAACACCTTCTTCCAGCAACACAAGAGAAGATACTACACATGAGCATCACCAGATGGTAAATATCGAAATCCGATTGATGATATTCTTTGCAGCCAAAGATGGAGAAGCTTTACACAGTCAGCAAAAACAAGACAGGGAGCTGACTGTGACTCAATCATGAACTCCTTATTGCCAAATTCAAACTTAAAGAAAGTAGGGAAAACCACTAGACCATTCAGGTATGATCTAAATCAAATCCCTTATGATTACACAGTGGAAGTGACCAATAGATACAAGGGATTAGATCTAGCAGACAGTGTGCCTGAAAAACTATGGATGGAGGTTCGTGACATTGTACAAGAGGCAGTGATCAAGACCATCTCCAAGATAAAGAAATGCAAAAGGGCAACATGGTTGTCTGAGGAGGTCTTACAAATAGCTGAGAAAAGAAGAGAAGTGAAAGGCAAAGGAAAACAGCAAAGATATACCCATCTGAATGCAGAGTTCCAAAGAATATCAAGGAGAGATAAGAAAGCCTTCCTCAGTGATCAATGCAAAGAAACAGAGGAAAACAGTAGAATGGGAAAGACTAGAGATCTCTTCAAGAAAATCAGAGATACCAAGGAACATTTCATGCACAGATGGGCACAATAAAGGACAGAAATCGTATAGACATAACAGAATAAGTGAAAGTCGCTCAGTCGTGTCTGACTCTTTATGACCCCATGGACTATACAGTCCATGGAATTCTCCAGGCCAGAATAATGGAGTGGGTAGCCTTTCCCTTTTCCAGGGGATTTTCCCAACCCAAGGATTGAACCCAGGTCTCCCACATTGCAGGAAGATTCTTTACCAGCTGAGCCACAAGGGAAGCCCAAGAATACTGGAGTAGGTAGCCTATCCCTTCTCCAGCATATCTTCCCGACCTAGCAATCAAACCGGGGTCTCCTGCATTGCAGGCCGATTCTTTACCAACTGAGCTATCAGGGAAGCCCTTCTGAAGTCACTTCTAAAGAACTGGGAGCAAAAACATGGTGCCAGGAGCAAATATACGGTGCTGTGCGTGCCCCATACACTCAATGCCACCAAAGGGGTGGGCAAACCACCTAAGCCACCCCTTTGGCCCAACCCCTGGACACACTCCTACCCTCCCCCCATTTAAGGAACCAGCTCAGCCCCCTTGGGGAATGAGCAAGGGAACCTGTTACCTGTTTTCACTCCTCCTTGCTGCAGTAGGGGCCCCAAGGAAGGCTTGCCTTCTTGTCAGGCCTCTTATCAATTTCTGTTGATTAAGGAAGGACAAGAACCAGGATTGGTAACAAAAAGTCACATCCCTGATTTTCCTAATCCCTTCTTAGCCTCCCTTTATTCATTCTTCTTCACCTTCCCCATCTCAAATGTTGCAGTGTCTCAAAAGGATCAGTCTTCACACCTCTTCTACTTATTTACAACCAACACAGTCTCTAGGTGATATTATCCAGTTCCATGGATTTTAAATAGCCTCTATAACCTAACAGTGGGGCTTCCCAGGTGGCTTGGTGGTAAAGAATCTACCTTCTAATGCAGAAGCCACAAGAGACATGGGTTCGATCCCTGAGTCAGGAAGATTCCCTGCAGAAGGAAATGACCACCCGCTCTAGTATTCTTGCCTGGGAAATCCCATGGACAGAGATGCCTGGTGGACTACAGTTCACAGGGTTGCAAAGAGTCAGACTCAATTGAGCGTGTACTCGTACTATAGCATAACAACTTTCAAATGTACATTTTCAATGGGAAACATCCTGCTGAACTGAAGACCTGCCCTCTTACTTGACATATTCACTTAAAAGTTTACCAGGTATATATAAATTAACATGAAAAAAATTCATTTTTCCTCCCAACACTCTTTCTGCCCCAATCTGCTGCCAATCAATCTTTCACAAGCCAGTTAAGTCCAAATACTTTCATCCAATTACTCAAGCTAGCTTCTCTGGAGTCATCTTTAGCTCCTCTCATTCATGCATGTGTGCTCAGTTGCCTCAGTCGTGTCTGACTCTTTGTGACCCCATAGACCAGGCTCCTCTGACCATGGGATTTTCCCGGCAAGAATACTGGAGTTGGTTGCCATGCCCTTCACCAGGGGATTATCCTCTCATTCATATCTCACATCTAATGCTTCCCTGAGTTCTGTCACTCTACTTTCAAACTATTTTTTGAATATCACAATTTCTGACTATATCATCTTCTAATATTCTAGTCCTGGCCACCATCATCTCTTTTCTGGACTATTGCTATCACATTACCCACATGCTACATAATAAAGAATCTGTCTGGTCTTGGTCCTGGGGTTTTTGGGAGGAAGCTACTCATTTGCAATTTCTTGAGTGACAGGAGCATCTCTGTTATTGGGACTACATCTGAGTTTACGTTAATGAAGTGACTCACTGGAGTCCCTAGAGAGGCACACGATAGAGGCTAGCAGTGCTGGAATGGTCAACCATGTGACTACAGGGTTGAGGCTTTGAGCCATGTGATAGCAACCTGACCTCCCAACCTCCAAGGAGGAAAGGGTGGCTGGAGACTGAGTTCAGTCACACAGTCAATAATCAAATCAACCACAGATAATGAAAATCCCAATTAAAAACTCTGGATGAGCTTCCTGGTTGATGAACACATAAGTGTGCTGGGATGGTGGCATGCTCTGATTCCATAGGGAGAAAACATGGAAATTCTGCCTTTGGGACGCTCCATGGACCTTGCCCTAAGGGTCTCTTCTTTGGGCTGTTTTTAATCCGTAAACTTTATAATAAAACACTAATCCTAAGTATAGTGTTTTCCTGAGTTCTGTGAGTCATTCTACCAAATTACTGAACCTAAGGGGCTATTAGGAACCACTGAATTTATAACCAGTTTAGTCAGAAGCATAGGTGGCCCCAGGCCCCAGAATTTTCAGCTGGTGTCTGATAAGGAGAGTTCTAGGGAGAACCGTGCCCTTAGTCTACGAAGTCTGCACTAATGCTGGGTTCAGTTCAGTTCAGTCGCTCAGTCGTGTCCGACTCTTTGCGACCCCATGACTCGCAGCACGCCAGGCCTCCCTGTCCGTCACAAATCCTGGAGTTTACTCAAACTCATGCCCATCGAGTCGGTGATGCTATCCAGCCATCTCATCCTCTGTCATCCCCTTCTCCTCTTGCCCCCAATCCCTCCCAGCATCAGGGTCTTTTCCAATAAGTCAACTCTTCGCACGAGGTGGCCAAAGTATTGGAGTTTCAGCTTCAGCATCAGTCCTTCCAATGAACACCCAGGACTGATCTCCTTTAGGATGGACTGGTTGGATCTCCTTGCAGTCCAAGGGACTCTNTTTAACTCTTCTGCTTTATCAATATTCCTACAAATGTTGGCAATTTGATCTCTGGTTCCTCTGCCTTTTCTAAAACCAGCTTGAACATCTGGAAGTTCTTGGTTCACGTACTGTTGAAGTCTCGCTTAGAGAATTTTGAGCATTACTTTGCTAGCCTGTGAGATGAGTGCAATTGTGTGACAGTTTGAGCATTCTTTGGCATTGCCTTTCTTTGGGACTGGAATGAAAACTGACCTTTTCCAGTCCTGTGGCCACTGCTGACTTTTCCATATTTGCTGGCATACTGAGTGCAGCACTATAGCAGTATCATCTTTTAGGGCTTGAAATAGTTCACCCATGTTGCTGGCATCCAAAATAAAGCAACCTTTCCTTTCCACTAACTTTACTTTTTTATTGGCTTTTGAGCTGCAAGCAGCCAGATCCTACTTTTGGTTACACATACATATGAACAGAATGGTCCATGTGCCCATAGCTGTGTGTAAGTTCAGGAGATTTCTTAGAAGACCCTAAACACTCAACAATGGCTAACTTTGAGGATCTGAGCAAGTAAGTAAAACTTTAAGGCAGAGTTGTAACCTGCCTGAGTATTGAAGGAATGCCCAATCTAGCACACAGAGCCCCTTGACAAAGACTGGGAAACTTACTGAATCCAGGTGTTTAAGGAAACCTCTGCCCAATATAAAGAAAAACACATTCTATTAAAAATGGGCAAAAACCTTGAATAGACAGTTCCTCAAAGAAGATAAACAGACAACCAATAATCAGTCGTAAGAAAGGGTGTCCTGCATCATTAGTCATTGTGCTGTGCTGAGTTGCTCAGTCGTGTCTGACTCTCTGCAACTCCATGGACTGCAGCCCGCCAGGCTCCTCTGTCCATGGGGATTCTCCAGGCAAGAATACTGGAGTGGGTTGCCATGCCCTCCTCCAAGGGATCTTCCCAAACCAGGGATCGAACCCAGGTCTCCCACATTGCAGGTGGATTCTCTACTATCTGAACCACCAGGGAAACCCAAGAATATTGGAGAGGGTAGCCTATCCCTTCTTCAGGGGATCTTCCCAATCCAGGAATCAAACCAGGGTCTCCTGCATTGCAGGCAGATTCTTTACCAGCTGAGCTACCAGGAGAAAAATGCAAATCAAAACCACTTCACATCTCCTTGTAAGGGTTTAATTCTTTTTAAAAAGTGGACAATGACAACTGTTGTTAAGAACGTGGAAAAATCAGAAGCCTCATATTTTGCTGGGGGGAATGTAAAAAGATGTACTTTTTGAGAAACAGTTTGACAGTTCCTCAAAATGTTAAACATGGAGCTATCATATGATACAGCAATTCTACTAGTAGGCATTTATCCAAGAGAAATGAAAACACATCCATACAAAAATATGTACATGAATGTTCATAGCACCATTATTCATAATAGCCAATAAATGAAAAAAAAAAAAACCAAAAACTAATGCTTATCAATGGACAATAAATATTCCAACTGATGGAATACTATCTTGTCACTAAAAGGGTATAACACTTTGATACACGTTAGATGAATGAACCTTGAAAACATTATGCTAAGTGAACAAAGTCACTCACAAAAGACCACAAATTGTATTATTCTGTTACATCTATAGAGAGATGATTAGTGGTTACCTAAGACAGAAGAGTAGAGGAGAATAAGAAGTGGCTACAAGTGAGTTTGGTGATTCATTTAGGGTGATGAAAATGTTTTAAAATTAGATTGTGATGAGTTTCCAAACAATGAATATACTAAAACCATCTTCAGACATTAAATGGTCTGAATTTTAGTATGCAGAAACCAGTAATGACTGGTCAGATTAGAAAGGTAAATTCTGGGGACTAAATGGGCAGTGCACAAATTGAAACAACAAATATACTCTCTTTTCCAAGTGGTTTGGGAAAGAAAGGAAGGAGAGTACTGTTAGCCTATACCTGGTACTCCAAGTCCTCCTCTGTTTGTTGTTGAACAAATATTCTTGTGAAGCAAGCACTAACATTTATGTAAGAGATTAAAAAAAAAAAAAGAGTCAAAGAGCTGGCTTAAAATTCAACATTCAAAAAACTAAGATAATGGCATCTAGTCCCAGCACTTCATGGCAAATAGATGGGGAGAAAATGGAAACAGTGACAGACTTTATTTTCTTGGGCTCCAAAATCACTGTGGGCAGTGACTGCAGTCATGAAATTAAAAGACAGTTGCTCCCTGGGAGAAAAGCTATGACAAACCTAGATAGCATATTAAGAAGCAAAGAAATCACTTCGCCGACAAAGGTCCACCTAGTCAAAGCTATGGTTTTTCCAGCAGTCATGTATGGATGTGAGAGCTGGACCATAAAGAAGACTGAGCATTAAAGAATTAATGCTTTCAAACTGTGCTGGAGAAGACTGGAGAAGACTCCTGAGGGTACCTTGGACAGCAAGGAGATCAAACCAGTCAATCCTAAAAGAAAAAAACCCTGAAATATTCATTGGAAAGAACTGATGCTGAAGCTGAATCTCCAGTGCTGTGGCCACCGGACATAAAGAGCCGACTCATTGGAAAAGACCCTGCTGCTGGGAAAGACTGAAGGCAGAAGAAGGGAGCGACAGAAGATAAGATAGTTGGATGGACTCAAGGGACATGAATTTGAGTAAGCTCCAAGAGATGGTCTAGCTCAGATGGTAAAGCGTCTGCCTACAATGCAGGAGATCTGGGTTCGATCCCTGGGTCGGGAAGATCCCCTGGAGAAGGAAATGGCAACCCACTCCAGTATTCTTGCCTGGAAGATCCCATGGACTGAGGATCCTGGTAGGTTACAGTCCATGGTGTTGCAAAGAGTCGGACATGACTGAGCGACTTCACTTCATTTCACTTCCAGGAGATGGTGAAGGACAGGGAAGCCTGGTGTACTGTAGTCCATGGGGTCACAAAGAGTCAGACACGACTGAACAAATGAACAATGACAACAAAGAGAGAAAATAATTTCAACTTTAAGTATAGTAGTACACTATAGTAATTATGGCATAGTAATATGGTAAATATGGAATATCCAACTGATATATGATAAAGACCATGCGTCATCTGAGCTCTTTCTAGTACTGTTGGGTTTTAGAGAACTGAGTTCAACATTTTCCCCTACAGAATTAGTTACTTGTCTAGGACCCTTTGACTATGTGGATCACAACAAACTGTGGAAAATTCTTCAAGAGATGGGAATACCAGACCACCTTACCTGCTGCTGCTAAGTCGCTTCAGTTGTGTCTGACTCTGTGCGACCCCATAGACGGCAGCCTACCAGGCTCCTCCATCCATGGGATTTTCAAGGCAAGAATACTGGAGTGGGGTGCCATTGCCTTCTCCAACCACCTTACCTACCCCGTGAGAAATCTGTATGCAGATCAAGAAGCAACAGTTAGAACTGGACATGGAACGATAGACTGGTTCCAAACTGGGAAGTGAGTACGTCAAGACTGTATATTGCCACTCTGCTTATTCAACTTTATGCAGAGTACATCATGCAAAATGCCGGGCTGGAAGAAGCACAAGCTGGAATCAAGATATTCCAATGAATCTTTTCCATCAAGGTTATTCCAATATCAATAAGCTCAGATATGCAGTTGACACCACCCGTATAGCAGAAAGCAAAGAAGAACTAAAGAGCCTCTTGATGAAGGTGAAAAAGCAGAGTGAATAAGCTCGCTCAAAACACAACATCAAAAAACAAAGATCATGGTATCTGGTCCCATCCTTTAGGGAAACAATGGAAATAGATGGGAAAACAATAGAAACAGTGACAGACTTTTCTTGGGCTCCCAAAATCACTGTGGATGGTAACTGCAGCCATAAAATTAAAAAATGCTTGCTCCTTGGGAGAAAAGCTATGACAAACCTAGACAGTGTACTAAAAAGCAGAGATCACTCTGTGGACAAAGGTCCACATAGTTAATGGAGGACCCACATTTTGAAACAGTATAGACCTAGGCCCAGTGTAGTACAAATTCAGTATAGACAGAGAGACCAGTACAGAGAAATACACTTAGGAAGAAGTCTACTGTGGTAGTCTTGTCTAAGAAATAAATGAGGGAATCCCTAGAAGGTACTTTAATACTAGTGGTTTTAAGAGCTTAGCTTTGATGATTTTGAAAGATAACAAACAAAACTAAACTATCTTCCAGTGGGACCTGCAGGTGACCTCAACTTGCACTGACAATCACATGTTTCTGAATGGACTTTTGTTTCTGAATGGACTTCTATTTTGTGGCAAAGGAATCCACAGAGAGGATAGTTTTTACAGTCCATGTTGGCTACACAAATATAATTCTGCATTGTCTCATAAATTATTTTGTTTAAACTTTTAAAAAGATAAAAAGGAGTTTTTAAAGATTAAAAAGAAATCCACATTCATCAAAGATGAACTAAAAAAAACACATTACTTTTCTAAGGTCACTACTTTCCTTTAGTCCTGGTTAAATGTAAAATCTGGTAACTTTTCCTGTACCAAATTCTTATCAAAGTAATAAACTATTTAAAAACTGTTCACCTGCTTAATTTAAATTATTTCATTTACTACGACATCAAGGCTTGTTGAAACAAAATACCTTGCCAAGATCAAACAGAAAAGAAAGAGTGTGGTTTCACTGGATTCCAACTCCGGTTGGTGTTAAGTATTAAGCATTAACTTGAATCTTCAAGACGAACAGGATCTTCTGAGAACTCCATGTAGGAGTGTATACAAATAAAGAAACGCCAAAACTACTTGCAACGTGCTTTAAAAATACCAACTATAATGCAGCGACTATCTTTGCAGGGCTGCTACACTGTGGTACATTTAAGTCACAAGGATTTAACTCACAGCAACCCTGGAAGAATTAAGCCAATTCACAAACTAGTAAACTGAAACGTGAGGATGCCCCAAACTGTAGTTAAATTAAGTGAATATTACTAGTTTCAATGATCAGAGTTATCTTCAACCTGTAGCGTGAAGGTTGGGCTCGGGGAATGGGAGTTTAGTAATCATCCAGACTCGAGCTAAAGCCTGGTTCGGGTTAAAATCTGGTTCAGAAGCACATCCAGGTTAACTACCAAAGGTCAGACAAGGACCGGAGATCGCACTAGCAGCTCGGGGAGTGACTAGGAGACCAGGACTGCCTAAAGGCCAGCCACATTCCAGGGCAGGTTGCGGTTTCTCGCCTCACACATCACAGGTTCACCGCACTCACGTCCCAGCCAATCTCGAGGTCCTACCCTTTCGGAATCCCTCCTCCCCACCCGCTTCCAACACACACTTTACCCTCCCTGCGCTCACCAACATGGGAACTCCGTAGCGAAGGGTCTTACTCTTGCGCAGGGCGCGCCTCACTGCGTAGGCGAACATGACTGAACTGTCTGAGTCGTCTGGCCGCCAAACAGGCCCAGCGTGGCCTTCCGAATCTCAGTAGCTCCGCTACGAAGACGTCCTTGACTCACCTCTTTTCCTTGGCCTCCCAGTGCTGGATCTTTTTAAGATCGATCTCCGGCAGGCAAAAGCAATCGATCCGTAGTAACACACTCAAGCTTCCCCCCGGAAATTCGAGTGCGAGCCATTTAGTTCCGGCAAGCTGGTGTCCCCTTGGGACTTGAGACTGCTTGTTCGTGCGTGCTTTGTCGCTCAGTCGTGTCCGACTCTTTGGACGCCATGGGCTGTAGCCAACCAGGTCCTCTGTCTATGGGGATTCTTCGTGCAAGAATACTGGAGTGGGTTGCCATGCCTTTCATCAGGGGATCTTCCCAACCCAGGGATGAACCCAGGTCTCCTACATTGCAGGCGGATTCTTTACCGTCTGAGCCACCAGGGAAGCCCAGTCTTGTTTGTACTAATTGTCAAAGGATGTGAAACCTGTATTTATCTCCCGTGTTCTGGGTCTTTTCTTAGGACACTTCCTGGCACATAAAATCAGCTCAATAAAATTAGGTTTAAAAAAGCTAGTTTGAAGCCAGTACTCTAACCTCTGCAGTAATTTGCAGAGTTGCTGTTCACTTGCTCAGTCATGTCCCGATCTTTGCAACCCCATGAACTGCAGCACGCCAGGCTTCCCTGTCCTTCACCATCTCCTGGAGCTTGCTCAAAGTCATGTCCATTGAGTCGGTGATGCCATCCAACCGTCTCCTCCTCTGTCATCCCCTTCTCCTGCCTTCAATCTTTCCCAGCATCAGGGTCTTTTTCCAGTGAGTCGGTTCTTCACATCAGGTGGCCAAAGTATTGGGAGTTTTAGCTTCAGCATCAGTCCTTCTGATGAATATTCAGGACTGATTTCCTTTAGGATTGACTGGTTTGATCTCCTTTCTGTCCAAGGGACTCTCAGGAGTCTTCTCCAACACTGCAGTTTGAAAGCATCAGTTATTTGGCACTCAACTTTCTTTATAGTCCAACTCTCACATCTGTACATGACTATTGGAAAGACCATTGCTTTGACTATATGGACTTTTGTCGGCAGAGTAATGTCTCTGCTTTTTAATCCACTGCCTGGGTTTGTCATAGCTTTTCTTCCAAGGAGCAAGTGTCTTTTAATTTCATGGCTGCAGTGATGTGTAGCTTAATAAAAATGGGGATAAAAAGTGCCATGAAAGTTCAGGTTGAATGGTAAGTGGTGTTGTGTCTTACTATCTGTGAATCTTTAATGCTCGTGCTTTTACTGCCAGATATCATGCAATCATCAGTTGTTTATATGAATGTCGTTCCCACTCACTCTACAACCATCCAGTACACCATTTGGGGAGTCATTAGAAGGCTTGAAAAACACAGAGATGAAAAGATATGATCCCTGCCCTAAAGAGGCTGGCAAACTAATAGGCACACAGATGACCCATCTAGCTTGGGAAACAACCCTTCACGTGTGCTATCTGCATAGATGAGTCAGAGAACGGCTCACCTATTATCACCTCAAACTGCACCGGACAGGTGAGACTTTTCTAGGTGACCTATAGAGGTCAGCAGGGACTTGGTTCCCTGGTGGCTCAGACAGTAAAGAAGCTGCCTGCAGTGTGGGAGACCGGGGTTCTATCCCTGGGTCAGGAAGATCCCCTGGAGGAGGGCATGGCAACCCACTCCAGTATTCTTGACTGGAGAATCCCATGGACAGAGGATCCTGGTGGGTCCCAAAGAGTCGGACATGACTGAAGCAACTAGGCACGAGGCCACACAGAGTTAGAGAATGTAAAACTGAGAAAAAAGCTTAAGATCACCCATCTTTGACTGAGGTCCTCCTTTTACGAAAAGGATAGATGAGGCCAGAGAAGAAAGGCGACAAGCCCAAGGTCACACAGCTGGCTAGTGGAAGATTCTGGACTGAAATCCAGTTACTCTGACCACCAGCTAAAGAGAGTCCTGTTAACTTTCAGTTTTAAGGGTGAATGGGAACCATCATTTCTTCCCAAGGGTGATAAACTCTACATGTCTCTGTTAGTGTGGGTGAGGAAACAAACCTCTGAGAGTTCGCATTTGTAACAAATCTTAAAAACAGTGTTTACAGCATTTTTAATGATGCAAGGTGAATACCTACTAAGAATGCTTATCGAATGAATAGATGGATGTGTATGAACAAGGAGAAGGGAAGCAGCCATATATACAATATTACCTATGACTCAACAAAAACAGACAAGCCAGGGACACATTAATGTTTGTCCCCTGAATACAAAGCCTGGGTGAGGGAGAGCGTATCTGTGGGTAAGTGACGTCTGTAAGCACCAGGTGTGCGGGGAGTCCAGTCTGTGATCCTAGGATTAGCCTTACCCTCCTGGGGCTCCATTTCATTATCTTCCTAAACATTAAATGACTAGATTAGAGCTCTAAGGATTGTCTCAGATCTATGTCAGATCACAGACCTCAAGGAGGGAATGGATTTCATTTCACTGACATGTCTCATGGCCTTGTGACACTGTATGCTTTTGTGTGTGTATCTTGGGGGGGGGGGCAGGGGGAGGGTCTCTTGCTGAAAATTGTATTGGGTAAAAAAGGAGCATTCCTACCTCTTAACATCCAACCCATCTGGCTCCACTCCCAAATCCCAAGCCCCATTTCTCCTACTCTGTTCATGAGAAATGAGAACTTGGAAAAGAGCTAAAGGGTTCAGTTTTGAACTGCGTGTAGCTGATGAAACAGGTGTGGGCTGTTTCAATTTTTAGCACCTTGCTGGCCTTTGATTTCATTTCATATCCAAATTCATATCTAGTGAAATCAAAGTCCTATGACTATTTATTCTCTCAACTGTCATGAAAAGTGTCCCCCTCCCCCAGATGGAGCTGATTTCTTTGGTTACATTTCACACTGTCATTCTGAGGCCACCTGCCACTACTCAGGACTAGATCTGCACCAAAGCTTCTGTGCTGCTGCGTCAGGTAGACAACGAGGCACAGGGGAGGGGGGTGGAAAAAGAATACCAGTGGAGAACAGTTCATCTCTTTTGGAAACTAGTTTCTGGCATTTGACAAGTCAGTTAAAGGAGATTAAGTCTCTAAAGGTTTTCTGCCATCTGCCTGAGAGTAGGCTTAGCTGCTCTAGCTGGGTCTGTGATCCCTAGCACAAGGAACTACAACACCATGACTGGAGGACATCCTTGGTGCTGAGCCAAATTATAATTTGTTTCCCTAGAAATGAGAATTCACCTGAGCTTAATTCCTATCTGTAGAAAATAATAATCAGATTAATTAAAAGTTTATACACCCTGACTCCCCATGGCTTTCACTGACATTCTTGTAGGGAATGGGCTCATTTAAGTTCATCTTGATCTCATCAACTAATGGATTGTTGTTGTGTAGTCGCTCAGTCGTGTCCTACTGCTTGCGACCCCATGGACTGGAGCCTGCCAGGCTTCTCTGTCTGTGGGATTCTCCAGGCAAAAATACTGGAGTGGGTTGCCATTTCCTTCTCTCTTCCCAATCCAGGGATCAAAACCATCTCCTACGTTGATAGGTGGATTCTTTACCACTGAGCCACCAGGGATGCTCCCAACTAATGGATGTGAGATTTAAATTCAGGTTCCAGCCCTTCTGCTCAGCTTGGTTCTGTGGTGCATTGCAGGGCACAGAATCGCACCCGGTGCTAGGGACCAGCCTCCTGATAGGTACAAGGTTACAGCGGGAATGTAAATTCTGTGAAAAAAAAAAAAGGTGTTAGCAATCGAAACATTCAGTCTGAGGCTGGTCAGGATGAGGTGGACTGAAATACAGTCCCCACCTTTGGGAACTTTGCAAAGCAATCACTGATCAGTTTTTGTGTGTATCACCTATGAGGTAAGGGAAGGCACAAAATGCACTTTATTGACAGCAGAAACATTATAGAGATTCTGGATTGATAAAATTTTAGGAAGTCACCAGTCAGGCAGACCAGGGGGTTTCTTTGGACAAATTCCAGCAGAAAAGGAGATGGAAAGGATTAATTCATGTGCCGATTCATTGAGTGATTGTAAAGAACAATACTGCATAGGAATCTGGAATGTCAGGTCCATGAATCAGGGTAAATTGGAAGTGGTCAAACAGGAGATGGCAAGAGTGAACACTGACATCTTAGGAATCAGTGAACTAAAATGAACGGAACTGGGCAACTTTGATTCAGATGACCATTATATCTACTACTGTGGGAAAGAATCCCTTAGAAGAAATGGAGTAGCCCTCAGAGTCAACAGAAGAGTCTGAGATGCAGCACTTGAGTGCAGTCTCAAAAAGGACAGAATGATGTCGGCTGATCACCATTCAGGATCACTCTGACCCAAGTCTATGCCCTGAGCAATAATGCTGAAGAAAGCTTAAATTGACAAGTTCTATGAAGACCTACATGACCTTCTAGAGCTAACACCAAAGAAGGTGTCCTTTTCATCATGGGGGAATTGGAATGCAAAAGTAGGAAATCAACAGTTACCTGGAGTAACAGGCAAGTTTGGCCTTGGAGTACAAAATGAAGCAGGGAAAAGGCTAACAGAGTTTTGCCAAGAGAACACACTGGTCATAGCAAACACTCCCTTCCAAAAACACAAGAGGTGACTCTATACATGGACATCACCAGATGGTCAACACCAAAATCAGATTAATTATATTCTTTGCTGCCAAAGATGGAGAAGCTCTAGTCAGTTAGCAAAAACAAGACAAAGAGCTGACTGTGGCTCAGATCATGAACTCTTTATTGCAAAACTCAGGCTTAAATTGAAGAAATACAGAAAACCAGTTGGCCATTCAGGTATGACCTAAATCAAATCCCTCGTGATTATACAGTGGAAGTGACAAATAGATGCTCTTCCATATGATTTGCTCTGTTTCCAGTGATTACTAATGCATTCTTCATCTTATATACTGAGTTCTTCACCTGCCAAATTTATATTTGGTTCTTTTTTAGAGTTTCACTATCCTTGTTAAAGTATTCTGTTCATTAATTTTATTGCTGAGCTGATTGAACAGGGTTTCTGAGTTTTCTTGTACCTCATTGAGTTTCTTTGTGACAGCTATTTTGAATTCTTCATCAATTAGATTGGTGGTTCATTATTAAAGAATCTGCCTTCCAA